TCAACATGATTGTCTCCAAACATCCATCCATTAAGGGCATCAATTTCGATTTGCCTCACGTTATCGATGTTGCTCCACCTCGTCCAGGTCAATTATTCGGAAATAAATTGATTTCTGTTTTGTCTCGCATGAAAATTATTCTATGACCTAACAACAATTGTATACAAATTTCTAATTCACAATTCAACTTATGATCCAACTTTAACTCTTCTCAGTATTATCAACCAATCATTATTACTACACGGTTTCCAACAAAACTTATTACTTATTCATTTAATCTCATAATTTTAACTATTACTATCATTATTTTATTACTACTCTTATCGTTACATTTTAAGTCATTTGCACTCACAAACTCGAAATCAAATCCAAAATTTCACTCAAAATTATTTTTTTTCTCAATCTTATCTCACTTTAATGTTCATTGCATATGGAGCTGGAAAAGTCATTGTTGACAATTCTCCTGACATGATGCTAATAATAGATTAGATCAAAATGACTCAATTAAGTTCTAGTGTTTATTCTATTAGTGAAGTTTCTAGAAAAAATATATCAAATGACGCAACGCACCTTGGATCGCTATGGAAACAGCCTTCTTGATGTTGATGTAATCTTATCTCACTTTATTCAATAAATCAAATCAAATATATATAAAAAAAAAAATTGCTTCCAATCGCTTAAAATTTCTATTAAATTAGGTCCACAATTCGGAAGTTTTCTATCATTTCTGCAGGCATCGAGAATGTTGGTGGCGACATGTTTGTGAGCGTGCCTAAAGGAGACGCTATTTTCATGAAGGTAAGCATTTTACATATATATTTACCTACATATAGTTACGAACACCGGAAAACCAAAAGAAGCAATTAATTAAGTGAATTCGATTACAGTGGATTTGCCACGATTGGAGTGACGAGCACTGCCTGAAATTCTTGAAGAATTGCTACAAAGCCTTGCCGGAAAACGGGAAAGTGATCCTTGCCGAGTGCATCTTGCCGGAGGCTCCGGATACAGAGCTCGCAACGAAAATTGCAGTCCATGTGGACGTGATCATGTTGGCCCATAACCCGGGTGGCAAAGAGAGGACAGAAAAGGAATTTCAGGCCCTCGCTAAAGGGGCGGGCTTTAAAAGGTTTCGAAAAGTTTGTTGTGCTTACAGTACTTGGATCATGGAGCTTCTCAAATGAATGTTTGAGCCTAAGAATCATTAATGAATGTTTGATTTCCTAGGTTTCTTTGTTGCTTTGTAATAAAATGTTGCTTGTTCTATATAACATTCTTGAAAAGTTCCAAACAGTGTCCTTGGTCAAGATTTCTGCCCCAAAATTTGTCATAATACTCTGACCCATTTTCTGTAAGTTCCTTTGGAGCTTTGATCACAGCACTGTTTGATGGGCACAAAAACGAAGCTACTGAGATTCTTGCCTTGTGGGCATTCACCACAGCTCTGTGCCAAGTGCTTTTGTATCTTGAGTTGCTCAAAGCCTGCCAAAAGATTAGAGTTATTTGATTCCAAAATTAAATATTATATATAATATCTACAAATAAATGATTAAATAAAAGGAGGAAAAGAGGAAATTTCCAAATTAAATAACATTAAAATATGTTCATATCTATATCCATATAATTACTGGCTCATGAGCATTTAATAAAACTCTTTTCTTTCTCCCGCCTTTTTTCGTTACTTTGGCATTAACATAATAATATTTTTTACTTATTTTATTATATAATTGATACTATTTACTAATAATAGAGACACATTAAATGTTATTATACTCTAATATTTTTTTAAACTATATATTTAAAATTGTTATGTTTTTTTTTTTCACCTCATTAAGCAATTTTCTTTTATTACAATTAATTAATTATCTTTTATGGCATAACTAAACTTTTTAATGGTTTGTACACAAATGTTATAATAATTATTTAAATATTTTTTTATCCAATTAATTATCATAATCGTTTAATACTGTATAAATTTAAAGATTAATATGTACGTTAAATAGTTTATATTTATATCGTCATTATTATCTAATTTATGAATGTGATATGCTTATTATCTATTTTATAAATGTGATATGCTTATTATCTAATTTATGATTTTTAAATTTTACATAAAACATATATATATATAATGTATAATGTAAAAATTTTTATTTGCATTTGTTCATGTGCACAGGTAAAATACTAGTTATGTTTATTATTACCTGCAATTGATCACCAATGTTGACCACAAATGCATTTGGAATGGGCTTCACAGTCATCCATTTCCCATCCTTGAGCAGCTGGTGGCCCATTACTTCCGCATCTTGCAACAGAATGGTTAGGGTGTTGGGATCTGTATGGGCTGGAAGACCATGGCCTTGTTTGGCGATCAGCGGATAGCGGATAGCGGATTGTATTAGCGGATAGCGGATTATATTAGCTTATTTGACCAGCGAATTGCATTAGCGGTTTTTAAATAAGTGTTTGGTAAATAGCTGAAAGTTTATAGCTGTTTGACATTGCAAATTACCAATAAGGACATTTTTATTATTTAGGGTGTATTCTTTTAATAATAATATATTAAAACATTTAATATTCTTTAGTTGGTAATTTATAAATATATTATTTTTTTTTAAATTTACTAACACTTGATTAAGAAGTTATAAATTTTACATTTTTCTAAATAAATTAATCATATAAATTACATATTATTATTTATTAGCACCATAAACCAATGTAAATTGTAAAATAAATAATACAAATTAAAAAGTTTCAAATTAAAATAGTAGATTGTGAATCCTCTATCCCAAAAAGCTCCTCTAATGAGCTTTTTCTAAATTAGAGTTTTGGGCCGAAAAAGCTTATCAAATAAGCTATTTACCAAACAAACTTAATAGCGGATTTGACGGGTCAAACCTCTCAATTGAGTCCAATCCGCTAATTTATCTTCAATCCGCTATCTTCCAAACGGGGCCCATATGTCAATTCGGGCTCCGGACATGGTGGGTAGTAATTTGGGAAATTTTTACATGTACTTACAGATTTTTAAGTAATTGCGAAATTACCATCCAAACAAAAATATTTGTTTATATACCTAATATATTAAAAGTATTTATAAGCATGCCTAAAAAATCGTTTCGTGGATTGTGAACAGTTACGTGGATGCTGAACACTTCCATAATTTTAGGGGCACAATATCAGCTTTTCAAATATTGAAAAGATATTATATTCAAATGTTAACTGCATAATCATCGTTTGACCGCATGTTGTTACAATAACAATACAATGTTATGTAACAAGACATATAACCCTACATATATACCAGAAATATACCAGAAACAGAACATAACCAGACATGTAACCCTACATATATACCTGACATATACCAAAAACTGAACAATGTTCTGTAACCGAGCATATAACCGTAACATATATACCATATATATAACCGTTATATATTCTATCATAAAACATAACAAATATACCAATTCACTGTGAACACAAGATAGAAAAAAAAATAAAAAAAAAAGCAACTTATATACACTTTGATATACCGAAGATATACATATAACAAAAAAAAAAATAATAAAAAACCGAAAAATATACTATACATATACTCCAAAAATAAGTGAAACGAAAACAAATCTCAGAAATCATCTTCTTCAACCTCCCGCAAACTTCTCATAAATATACTCCCTCCCCGTCCTAAGATCCGAATTCTCCTCTCCTCCACCTCTCGGCGTCAGCACCCTTCCAATCTCCCGCAGCGGTAGCGGCTCTCCGGCAGCGGCTTCACGGCTTCAATCTCAAATTGTTTTTTTTATCAATCTGGAGTGCTTCTTCTTCTTCTTCGTTCGCCGTTTTCTTCCGTGGATCTTGGGAGATTTTGATTGACGGGAGGGAAGTTTTTTTTTCCTTCTGCAAGAGGTTTCGATTTCCCGAGGATCGCGTCCTTAATTATCTGATATAAATGCAACTTCTCATTTTTAGGTAGATTAGCAATATTTTACTGTTTAATTGGTGATTATATAAATATTTAAGTAATGGTAGTACATTTATAATATATTAGGGAAGAGGAAGTATGGGGTGCAATTTCCTCTAGTAATTTATGGCCATATGTTGGCCCTGTTGGCCCAAAATATTTTTAATGTAGTCCTTGTTCAGGCCCAAACTCTCTGAGATCGCTTCTTGAAGCTTCAGCCCAAGCTGTCGAATTTCCACGCAATAATTACCTACTATGTCCCTGCAAGATGCAAATCGTAATTCGTGGCTTTTTTTTTTTTTTTTTTTTTTTTTTTTTTTTTCATTAGACTTTGTCAAGAAACTATGAAGAAAGTGGATATATTTGTCATTTAGATGAATGTGAATAATAAGATAGACATGTCGGGTTTAAAGGTCAAAAGTGGAGATATGAAAAACAAAGCCTATGAAGAAAAAAACAAAAGGCTATAGATTGCATATAATTTGCATTTAAAAATTATGTGTATATGCTTCAAACATTTAAAAATACAATAATTCAAGTAGTTATAAGTTATAACCATTCTTACTTGAAAGATGGGGGGTTGTTAGGCCATTCCTTGACATAATTATCCAGAGGGTAACAATGAAGCCTGAGATAATCCCTCCAATTGTGAACTTTCTCCTTTAGAAAATTAGAACTTGTGCTCAACCTCGTCGTTTTACACGGGTCGTTAGAGTACAACTTCATCTTCTCCTCCACGGGAAGGTCGAAAAATTCCCTGGTCACTTGCACCATTTTTTCCATAAGTTCTTTCGACACGCCATGATTTATCACCTGGTGATCATATTAATTCACACGTAGAACAAAAAAAAGGAAGAAAAGGTAATTTTTTGCTAAACTATATACATTATTAATGTGTTGTCTAACAATTAGTTAGAAACATATATATGGAGCAATTATGGGATAAAAATTATTTGATACACCCTTATTTTTTCTTCTTAAATTCTTGAAATGTATTAAAAGGAAATTGGAAAAGAAAAAATAAATGACCTGAAAACATCCATTTTGCTGGCAAGCTTGAGCTATTTGATTGGCAATGAGTTTTGTATCACCACAGCCGAAGTCGATAACAGGGGCATTATAGTAATCTTTGGCTTCGGAAAGTTTGGGCAGATCGGGCTCGGGCCGGATATAGCTTTGGGGAATGGTTGTGTGTGGAAAACCAGAGGATACTAATGGAATCTCCATGAAAATGTAATTTTTTTTTTTTAAAAANNAAAAAAAAAAAAAAAAAACTTAGGAAATATGATGAACTATAGTTTTTGGGTGATAAGTGTAGTTTTATAGTATTTGAGATATAATTATGAGATGAGTAGTGTGTGAAGGAACAGGAAAGAAGTTGACTTGGAATTTGGGGGCCATTTAATATTAAAAAGGAGATAAATTATGATTAAATCATTATCGTATAAGTTTATCAGTATAACTTAAAGATTAATATATATATATATATCTCTACTATACATATAAGCAAACATTGAGGACCAATTCTTAGGCCGACACGTGTCCTTTTTGGACTAAAATGACCTTCCTTTAATCCCTTAATTACAATTTTGCCATTTAGTTGATTTATTGTAAATAATATACCCCGACTTTACTCCATCTTTTAAGGGCATAGCAGTCCGTCAGAGATATGCAGCTTTTTTGCTTGTTGCGTCGCTTCCCTCATCGTCACTTCCCTCAATTCACGCTCGCAAATCGGTTCTTCTACACGCAAACGCTTCACCCACTCCATTTTTCCCTTTTGCAAGCTAAAACAAAATTTCGACAGTATCCTTTCTCGACCACTCCTCCTCTGCCGACTGCCACACCCCCGTCACCACCGCCAAGCCCCTCTCTGACCACCCGATTGTTGTCGCCTCCCTTTCCACCGTGAAGCAAAATCACGTAGTTCCGGTAAAGCTCGCACAAAACCCTAGATCTTATCCAGAAGATGAAGTTTATGTCGGCAATCTTCACTCTCAGCGATGGTTTGTTTTTTAAATTTATTTTTGTATTATTTTGTCATTGGGTCTTCGATCTTCAGGCAGTTATGGTTCATTACAGCAATTTCAAAATGGTTCCTTGTTTTTCCCAATTCAGGTTACATAGCCTACCTCTCGAAAGCCTCCAAAGACGGTTAAGGATAAAGATAAGCTAATCCTTTGGATAATTAAGTTTCCACAGAAAGAAGATTGGGATGTTGCTCTTGTGCCTTGTTTCCTAAGCTGTTTTCATGTGAGTTTTGATTGTTGGCAAAGGTTTGAATTCCTATTCCTTTTTATTACTTTTTTGTGATAGTTGAAGAAAAAATGTTTAGTTTGATTTTATGTTTTGAAGTTTCAATTTTTAGGCGAGTCTATTTAAGGCTGCATTCATTTATTATGTAAAATGTTCGTGTGTAAGATTTTTGGTATTTGGATTTGTATCAAATTATTTGTAATATTGTGGGACTAACTTTACTTCTATGAAATTCATTTCTTTGGGATAATTCTTTTTAAAATTTGGCTTTGATTTAGTTTTCTTTTTCTTTTTCTTTGTATATGCCTATTCTGGTTCTTCTACTATTGAAAGGCAGTTGCATCACGAAATTACTAATTCAATGAGTTTGGGGGTCCGATCAAGGAAGTACGTCTTGTTTGTTGAATATCGAGTCGTGAAGATCCTGAATTTGGAGGAAGGAGGCGATGTCAATATTAGCAGTGCCGAGCACCGAGCATCATTGAAGCTTGAAGAAATGGCGGCCCTCTGCCTTTTCTACTCTGTGAGTTTGCTCCCATGAGGTTTCAATTGTTATTTTTTCTTAAATTGGCTCAACTTACAATGGACATTCACCATTTGGTGGTTTCCCAATTAATTATGCCCTCATCAAATTTAAAAATGTTTTGCACTAAGACTCACAAAAAGTTGAGCTCCACTTAAGTTGTTAAGTAAAAATATTTACATTGTTAGGCTATATATGTAATAACATTGATGTTCACATTTTTCTTGAAGAGCATTTCCCTTCTCATTCTTGAGAAAACCATGTTTTGAAATTCACAATTTGTATGTGTATCATCTTCTTAGTTTTTGTTAATTGGGCATGTTAGTTAGATATTTGATAAATTTACTGCATCTTTACTTTTCCTTTTAGTAATAGGTCTACCGATTGTCCACGATGGTGTCCCGATTGTGTCCCCTGCTTGAAATTACTATCTTTGATTAGTCAACTAGACTTGCAGTTTTGGTGTTGTATGGAGTTCGACATTACTGCTCTCAACCCCCATATGATTGTGCTCACCACATCGTGTTCTGAAGATAACCTTATTTATGAGGCTGGTTTTGAAGAATGGACATCTACTGTGATGAAATAAGTATCATGACAGTGGAAAATTCTCTGAATGAATAATAGTAATTACATTGATCACTTGGGAATTGCTAGATGAACAACAATAAACTGTTTGTATACAATGAGCAAATATAGGCTTGGTGAGATTTTTTTTTTTTTTGGATTTCCAGAAAGTAAGATTTTTTTTATTTATTGTGGCAAAGTACTAGATGTCGAAACTCCTACCTTTATATTGGATTCATATCAAGTAATTTCAACATACTTTTACAAACGCGGCCAAATGTATCTATTTGTACTTTTTGAGTCGGGTATCAGCACCATGGAAAAGGTTAGACACATTTTAAGCTGCAAATTTTAAGAGTCAACAGAAAAGTTACGCCTTCGGAGGTAATGATTTCCCAATTTTCAACCTCGCATGCTCTGAAATCCACTGCGTCGAGCTTAGGGTTGCAGGTACTTATTGTATCTGTTTTCTTACTTTTGTTATATTTATTCACATGGTTTTCTTAGGGAGAATTCGACACTATGTATTCAATTTACTGCGCAGTCTGAAGACGATGGACGGGTGTAAAGACACCCAAGTCTATGCCCTCAACCCGATGGCCAGCAAGACGCCGGAGGAAATCAATATCAGATGGCCGAAAATTGATGTATTCGAAAGGCCTTTCTAAGTGAATGTGGGAAATTTCTGATGTTCTGTTATTTATTATTTGCTTTCTTTAACTTTTTATTATTGGCATTATTATTGTACTTAGTGACATTTTGAAGTTCACGAGCTCATTATTGCAAGGTTACTGAAAAGAGAAATTTTTGATAATTGTATAATTGTACTTTGGAGTTATTATCAGGCCATCACCACCTTGTTCATTGCTCAGCTATGTTACTGTAACTTAAAGAAGCGAATGTTGTCGTGGAGCTTTCCTTCACCTCGTGGAAATTATTTTCTATAACTAGCTTTCATTTGGATTTTATTTCTCCTTCTCCTTTCATGAACTTGAGTCTTTTCAACTGCAGATTAGACCTCCTCAAAAGGATAAATTTACACAAATCCTTTTATTGGAATTGGTGGTTCAGCTCTTGGGCCACATTTTGTGGCGGAGGCATTAGCTCCTGATAATCCTCCTCTTAAGGTATTTTACAGCACACACATGTATTATCCCATTATGTGTCTTAGGTTTAATATTGAGTGAACACTTTCATGTTGTGCTATCAAGTACTCATGGATTATACACCTTCTTTAATTCTGTGTTGTCACAATGTTTGCAGATAAGATTCATTGACAATACAGACCCAGCCGACATTGATCATCAAATAGCACAGCTCGGCAGTGAGCTGGCGTCCACACTCGTGATTGTGGTTTCGAAGGTATCGGTAGAACCATTTTCCGAGCTGGTTTGTTTTCATGATTATATGCTGCAAACTTTTAACAATTTCCTCTGTTCTATTATAGAGTGGAGGTACTCTCGAAACAAGAAATAGCTTGCTTGAAGTTCAAAAGGCCTTCCGTGAAGCTGACCTGAAGTTTGCAAAACACGTCTTGCTCTCACTTTTTTTTTCTCTGCATTAATTTTCTATTCACCGAATTTTCTATTGTAATTGTGAAACACTGAGATTAATGGAGATGTTGCAGGATATTGCGCGTTGTGTGTACACAATTTTTGTTATTTTTTGAAATAATTATCTCATCACATTGGCACATCAGTTGAGTTTTTTATGCTTTTAATGACATTGTTCAGAGTGTTGTCCACAGGGTGTTGCAATCACACAAGAGAATTCATTGCTTGATAACACAGCACAGATCGAGGGTTGGTTAGCTAGGTTTCCCATGTTTGACTGGGTGGGGGGACGAACGTCTGTAATGTTTGCTGTTGGTTTACTTGCAGCCGCGCTTCAGGTCTTTTTACTTGTCAACTTTAGGAATTGTTTCTAATGCTGTTTAAATTTCATGTATAGAATTGATTCCTGCTGGAATTAACAGAGAATCAATATTAAAGAAATGCTTGCGGGTGCAGCATTGATAGATGAAGCATTGATGCATAATTGTTCTTATGTGTACTCTTTGGATTATTTTCACCAAGCGTAGGTAAGTTGTGTAGCCCCCCCTCCCCCCACCACCCGTCCTACCGGAAAAACACACACACAAAAAGAACAGGAAACTTTGACTTCCTTGGGGTTTATTTTTATTATTATATTTCCCATCTTTCATCAAATTTCTTCAAGTCAGTTCAAGACTTGCTTAGTTTTTGCTGATCCTTCCAGCTGTGGCAGATATCATTATATTTATGAAGTCGAAAGTTATTTAAATTATGTTGATGGTTTGATGATAATGAACCTTATCCTACAGGAAATTACTCGAATGATCGCTGAAGTAGACAAAGATAGCAGTGGGGCTATTGACTTTGATGAGTTTTGTCACATGATGACAACTAAATTTGGTGAAAAATTGTTGGAGTATTTTACATTTTGGTTGTTCGTATTGTTGGTAACCGGTTCTTCATTATCCGGATACAGGGGAGCATATGTCTTGGAAATATTAGACGCATATCAAATGATTTGGGTAAAAGATTCACTGAAAAAGAGGTGCAAGATATGATTAGGGAAGCAGACCGAGATAGTAAAAGTGTTGCTAAACTCTATTTGTACCACAGATTTCAATTCTATTAGTTACCCTTGCTTTCTCTACTGTTCTGCACTACCATGTGCTTAAAAAATTTTGACCCCTTTTATAGATTCTCTATATACATTCCCAAAATCCCTTTGTTTTATTATTCTGGAAGTTGTAAACTTATAGTCATTGAAATCTGTGCTTCTCCAATTTCCTATCTGGCCATGCAGATGGACCCATATAGTTGAGCACAATAACTCAAAATAATGTAGCGACTTAGTTTCTATAATATTGATTTAAATGGATTTTAAGAAAAAAAAAATGAATTCTCCCTTTTCATTTCAAGTGAAAGCTTAAGGTTGTAATTAGATCACCAAATGTATGTATTTGTAGTCTTATGAGGCGAGAGAAAATGTATGGATGAGATCCGACACATTTTAAATTGTAATTTTTTAAGCAACAAAAAAGAAAAATATATTTGAGAATTATCGACTAAATTTGGGCTAATTATTTTGAGAAATTTGTTTGAATGCTACAAACAAATGAGTTAAAAGAGTGGTAAAAAAATTGTTGAAAAAAAAATTGTGAAAAACATTTTGAACAAACAAAAAATATAATATAATAATTAAAGTTGATGCAATTAAAATACTAATTTAATAAATATAAATATTTTGGTGTAAAAAATATGTGTGGAAAATTTGATTGAAAATAAATAGTGGCATTTTGGTTGCTCCATAAAATGTGGTAAGTGTGTTTTTAGAATTTTAGAAATACTAGATATTATTATAAACTGAACTAGGGCCGGCTGTGCGTGCACAGCCGAGTCCAGTCTAGTATATATATATATATATATATATATATATATATATATATAGGTTTCATTATTTTTTACATAGTAACTATTTCCACCAAAAATGTTATTTACTAATTGTGAAAACTATTTAAACATTTTATGGTATGTTTTAAAGATACAATTTAGGTAATTGCGACTAGTTTATTAAGGTAGTAAATCACATAAACTTTTTGTGTATATTAAGATATTCATATCATATATTTGTACATATATATCATATATTTGTACCTAAAATATAAAGATCTATCACATTCTTAACAAACTTTAGATTTAATTATATACTTTTAAATTAATCACATCAATAAATAATATTAATTTAATATACATTAAATATTTATCATTCTATAAAAAAGAAATATTACTTCTATAAATGTTACAAATAATCCTCCCTATATATTATTCTCGAATGCGCTGAGTCTAGTGGCTGCTTCTGGTGCTTCGAAATCCTACTTGACAAAGAATCATGCTTCGTAATTAGGTTTGGACAAATAATATTGATATATTAATTTTTTTTTTTTGGTACAGGGACCTTCCGGTTTCCGGATCCACAAGGGAACCGACTAATCCGGAATCGAGCAGGGTAGGACCACAAGGGCTGCAAAGCTCTTCTCAAGAGTTTTAACACTGCTGCATTCTCAGGGCTCGAACACGAGACCACTGGTTAAGCTGGATAAGACCCAAGTCATCTCATCAAAGCGCTCTTGGGTATATTAATATATTAATAATTAATAATTTAGGTTTTGACATTTCATAAATATTATTTAGCTAACTTAGGTATTTTAATATCATTTGTATTGATATAACCTTTATTTCTTTGTAATTTTACATATTGAGGCACTAAGTGACTAATATATCCCTGACTTTTTATTTGTTTCCTTCAATTAGCTATTGAATTATAAATATATTTTAAAAGTTGATAACTTCTGTATTTCGTATCGGTTTTACGTATATAATATATCAAATTAATCATCTTTTGATGATCTTCGATTTGACATCCATATTGTATATATGAAATAAATAAATTATATTTATTTTTATAATAATAAAATAATAATATTTATTAAAATTCATTAAAAAAATAAAATTATTTCTCAATTGATATATTTATACTTAATGTAATTTTATGTTGTAAGTAAACAAAATTATTATAGTATAACACATGTAAGTTGCACAACTAAATATATAATATATATACTTTTATAAAAGTTGTTTAAATTTTCAACTACTTGTTCTCATTAATTTTAGATTTTAAGAAAAAATTAGCAAGCACTCGCGTAATACACGGGCGTTGTACTAGTTGACAATATACAATAATAAATTATTGAATAAAATTATATTTGAGTATTATGATGAATCAAAATATGTAGAATTATTATTTTTTATATTAAAAAATAAATATATATGTTAAAATCCTCCCTATATATTATTCCCGAATGCGCTGAGCCTACATGGCTGCTTTTGGTGCTTCGGAATCCTACTTGGCAAAGAATCATGCTTCGTAATTAGGTTTGGACAAATAATATTGATATTAATAATTAATAATCTAGGTTCAGACATTCCATAAATATTAAATAGCTAACTTAGGTATTTTAATATCACTTGTACTAATATAACACTTTAATTATTTGTAATTATATATAGTGAGACATTAAGTGACTAATATATCCGGACTTTTGATTTGTTTCATTCAATTAGTTATTTAATTGTAAATGTATTTTAAAAGTTGATAATTTTTGAATTTCTTATCGGTTTTACATATATAATATATCAAATTTATCATCTTTTGCTGATCTTCGATTTGACATCCATATTGTATATATGAAATAAATAAATTATATTTATCTTTATAATAATAAAAAATAATAATATTTATTAAAATTTATTAGAAAAATAAAATTATTTCTTAATTGATATATTTATGTTTAATGTAGTTATATGTTGTAAGTTAAAAAATTATTGTAATATAACACAAGTAAGTCGCACAAATAAAAAAGTGTCATACTAAATATATAATAATATGTATATTTTTATAAAAGATATTTAAATTTTCAATTATTTTTTCTCATTAATTTTAGATTTTAAAAAAAAAATTAGCCAGCACTCGTATAATACACGAGCGTTGTATTAATGTTAGTTTGTATAAACGGATCAACAGATTAATAAATTGTTAAAATAAAGTTTTGCAACGCCATTTTAAGGTTACGAAAGTTGTATACAAAAAAATTAGGTAAGTAATGAGCTCCTTACCAAACAGGCAAACACATTCTAAAATAATAAAGGGGCTCTTTTGAAATTTCAAAAAGATTAGGGGCTGTTTTGATTACACCCTGAGCCTCAAGGACACAGTTACAATTTTCGGCGTCCAATTCCATATATATCGCTGCAAAACCCTAATCGTACAGATTCACAATCAGGGCAGCAGACCCAACGAGCACCTTCAGAATTTCCGTTTCGTCTCCGCCGCACAGAAAGGGAAAAATGTCTGCCGGAGAGCTTGCTTGCACTTACGCTTCTTTGATCCTCCACGACGATGGCATCGCCGTCACCGTAATTTCCCGTTCTTCTGAAAAAAAAAATATATGTTCAATCATGTACTTGTAGTGATGAGATTCGATTTACGTTTGTTTCTTTTTTGTTGTCGTTTAGGCGGAGAAAATCGCTACTCTGGTTAAGGCGGCGAATTTGAATGTGGAGTCGTACTGGCCGAGCCTCTTTGCCAAGCTATGTGAGAAGAAGAACATCGAGGATCTCATCGTCAACGTGGGATCCGGCGGTGGCGCCGCCGTCTCTGTGGCTGCTCCGGCAGGCGCTTCGGGTGGCGCAGCTGCCGCAGCTGCTCCCGCCGTCGAGGAGAAGAAGGTACGGACTAGTGTTCCCTTTACTCATCATTTCGTTTGGGTTGTTTGTTGTTGAGTGGGAGAAGGTTGTTCTGTGTTTGCAGATCTGTAAAATCACAGACCAAAATTGTTATACATTTTAATCTTGTTTGAAGTTTAATTAGATATTAGTTCAAGTCCAGTATTGCGTGTTTTCTTGACAGTGCAATGTGATGAATAGATTTAGCTGATGACATTTGTTTTTGTTTACAGTTTAATGCTGTTTGAAGATTAACAAGATATAGTTAAAGTCCAGTATAAAAGTACAATTTGATTAATAGATTTATCTAATGACATGTGTTTTTGTTGACATTTCAATGCTGTTTGAAGTGTTACTAGCTAATAGTGCAAGTCCATTATAATGTGTATTGTTCACAGTTCAATGGACGAATCGATTTAGCTAATGACTTATATTTTGTGGATTTAATTTTTCTACAGGAGGAGCCGAAGGAGGAAAGTGATGATGACATGGGATTCAGCTTGTTTGATTAGGGGAGCCGTTTTCAGTTTATTATTATGTTTGAAGTTTGCAGTTTTGGTTCTTGGACTAGTTTAGCTGGTTACAGAGTTTTTTGTTTTTACCATGCCAAGGATTACTGTGATTTGTACCACAGAGCCGAAGGGCCTTTTGATGCCTTTTGCAGTACTATTTGGTTTTCCGATTAAGGTTCAAATTTTTGATATGCTGGGCAATTTGTTTATTTCATATTTTCGTTGTGGTTGATCATCTTAATGTTATTTGAATTTACGTGCTCTTTGGGTGTGCCCTGATTGTGTGCAATCCTTTTTGCGGAAGTTTGGATGGCAAGTAGAATTAATCATGTTAGAATTCCTAAATGTTTTTGTTGCTTCAAATAATTAGTTAGCTTTTTAGATAGAGATTCATGTATCAGTTTAATTCTACTTCTATAATTTGCCATCTCTAGTTTATGCGTTCTTTGGTTCTTGAAAATGTAAGATGAGGTAATTGGGTCGGCATTCACTGCTCAGGTCTTTATATGTAGCATAGCTAAGAAGATGCAATATTTTAGAGGAAACGCAGCAAGAAGTGTTGTGTATTTGAATTTTTAAGAGGGAGTATGTTATATAGGGTTATGTGATAATTTAATCTTAGACATAACAAATAGCTTAGTACTCACTGGTGAATGTTTCAATCCAACAATGGTGAATGTTTCAACCCAACAATATTTTGTTATATATGGTGTTCTTAATTTCCCACCACTTCTATTGGTGGACATGCAATTGGCTATTAATTTCCTACCACATTGGATATGCAATTCGCTATTTTTCGCTATTTGAAAAAGCTACTGTCTCGTTATATTATCATCATGTCAGGTGTTTTAATTGTTGAATCTATATGTAGTTAGATTAGATAGATGATCTAGCCTACCAAATAATTCACCGTGTGTAGAAAGTTCGCTCTATATCCTTGAAAAAATGCCCTGTTACACACACAACATACATATATAAACTTTACATCTTTCTTTTATAATGGTAGCGTGTTGAATCTACAACTTCAATACTCTTATTTTTATTATTTGGGGGCATGTCCCATGCTCCCTTCTCTCGTTTGTGGTTTCTTTGCAAATTTGTCATCATAAACTAAAAGTATATTATTTATTTTATTTCATATAAAATATCAACATTTTTTATTTACATTTTTACTATAAAAAATAATCTTAATAAACACAAAATAAATAGCCACTAGCCACCGTAAAACTATCAGTGTAATCTGCAATATCTGATCCCAAATAAACGGCCAATACCAACCTCTTATTTCATCACACGCACAGAAAAAGGTTGCCTTTAATCCTCAAATCAAATATCAGAAACAAAAATGGTTCCCAAATCACCACCGCCAGCCGCCGCCGCCAGCTGACATGCCGACCTTGCCACCGCCCCAGCCACCAGCTCCCTCGACGCCGCCGCACCACCACCAGAAAAGGACGACGTCACTCCCCGACGCCATCTTCACCGCCTTCTCCTTCCTCGTCCTCTTCTCCACCTCCCACAGACCCACCTCCATCTTCTCTCTCCCCACCACCACCAAACTCCAATTCCCTCCGAATACCCGCAAATTCCCCAAAATGTCCTTCCCCTTCACGTCTCCCCGAAACCCTAGAAAACCCGCCCGCCCCACCCTGCCTCCGCCGTTCGCCACGCCGCAGTCCCTCTCCGATTGGCTCGCTCCGCGCCTGGCCGCCGATTCCTTCGGCTCGTGGGGCGTCAAGCCCGGCACCAAGAACGTCCACAACCTGTGGCTCGAGCTCGCCGAAGGCGAAACCGTCCTGTCCGATTCCCTCCCTCCGGTCAGGACAGTCGAGGTCGTCATCGTGCGAATAACCCGAGACGGCGGTCGAAAGTTACTCATAGAATCTCATCAGGAGCTATCGAACGGCATCGTCAGACACCGTTCCCGCCCTTTGTCCGAAAAGATGAAGCCCGGCGAGTCGGTCGAGGCTGCCGTTTTTCGGGCAGTGAAAGAGGAATTGGGCTCTTTAGTGAAGTTTGAAACTTTGGACTTTTCTGATGGTGGGGTTGTGAAAATCATGCCGGAATCGTATGTGAAGAAGGTGGAGGAGAGGGTTTCGGCTTCATATCCTGGCTTGCCCGCTTGCTATGTGTTGCACACGGTGGAGGCTGAGGTGGCGGGCTTGCCGGAAAACGAGTTTTCTACAGAGGAGGAAGATGAGTATGAGGTCTCGGATGAAAGGAATATGGCAGATTGTGCGGTCTCGTGTAGGATGCATTTTTGGAAGTGGGTTGATTCTGATTCTGTTTGAATATTTCTCACAAGTTTTGGATATTTTAATGATGGTGTTATTTGCTAAGGTTTGGTTGGGTAATTTGTGATGATTCTCTACATGTGTATGAATGAGAATTGAAGTTTTGGGTTTTATAGATATGACTGGTTTCAAGATGGTTGTGTTGTATAGTTGTGTTTTGTTGTGCTAAGATAGAGTACTTTGAGTTTGGTTTAACGAAGCGCAATATTGTTAATGGAAATCTGAAATGGAAGATTGGTATGTTTTGTGCAAGCATTGGTGATTGGAGTGTGAAAACATAAAACTACATGTTTTTTTGTTGCTGTTCGCATGAGTATGAGCCTTTTTGCGCTAGGTGCTTGCCGAGCTGATGTTCTTGTCTTCAAAGATAAAGCTTTTACAACCAAATATAGTTTCTTGGGATAATTAATTCCAAGCACAAGATGAAGATAACTTACATTCCTGAGAATTGTATGTAAAAGAAAAAACAAAAAGATAGCCTTTATTTTTTGTTAGGCTGCCGTTTTCAGACTAGTTTTTATAGCTCGTGCACGATCTGTATCTCGTGGTTACTCAAGTATCTATGGAATTTTTGCAGTATTGATACCTAAGAAAAGTGCTCAGATAGACGGGCGGATTGGAAAAACTTTGTTTTGGGCTTGATGTCTGTTTTGCGTCGTCCCCCTGGACATGAAATTAAATGCCCTGTTCCAGATTTTTTTTTTTGACTGGACTAATTTTGACATTCTATGTGATTTTACATTTGCTGCATTTTACCATATCATGGCCGGTACATTATAGTTCGATGATGTTTTGAAGGATTTAACCTTTTTCTTCCATTTTCTTGTTCAATTATTGCGACGGTGGGGTTGTTTGTGGGGTTTTGGTGCAAAATTCTAGCATCTCTCAGTTTAACAGTGTCAAGATTAGTTATTGAGTTTGTTTTGGGAAGCAACTTTAGTAAAAAAATGAGGTAGATTTAAACTAGCATTTATTGTGTGATATTGAGTGCCATTAGCAGGGGCTATTACAAACCCACACGAGACTTAACACCATTAGGGGAAGGATAAGCCAGGATATCCTGGCTAATCCCTCCAAGCAAACATGGGCTTATAGAATAACAGTCAGTTTTGCAGCTATGTTACCCGGACTCTTCTATTTAGGAAAAATACCCGTGTCATGTTGTGTCGACACTAGTGTGGGTATGAGTGTCGGGAGTGGCATTTTAGCCTAAAATGTTCAAGATTTCTAAACTATTGACGAGTCGGACGCTCATATCTCCACACCCGATACGCCACCCATATCCGAGTCCAGGTAGCATAGTTTTGCAGTACAAGGAAATTGCAGCTATGTGAACAAGTATTGATCTCTTTTCCTTAGGTGCGTTCCTCTCTTTTTATTCCTTTTTTCGTTGTGGTGTTTGTTCCATGAGTGTGTTGGTCTATATTATGAAGGAAAATGTTTTGGTTGTATGATTTATGTACTTGTAGGGACAAATGAAGCAAAAACATAGCTGGATATTAGAAAGTGGAAAAACACTCTTAAAAAGTTGAATTGCTTTTTTTTTTTTTTTTTTTTTTCTTTTTCCTTTTCAATGTCTTTGAGTTTTTTCTGTGGCTGGATCTTACTAATGTGGGCAACCTCGGATCAACACACACCCACACGGGGTGTGTGTGTCCGTGCAATCCAATTGCTCGGACCCATGCCCACACCGGTAGGGGGTCGAATTCTCCAATCTATGGACTTCATGAGGAACAATAGACAACAATATTAGATTTCAATTTGCTCAATTTCTTGAGGAACAATAGTCGTTCAACATTATGCATTATTTATTCGTATTATACACTTTCTTGCGCGGGGATGGGATTTTCTGTTTCAAAATCACGTTCCAGTGTCTGTTATATTCTATTGGATGAATGACATGTGTCCATGATCATGTCACAATTACATATGTGTCAATCATCCGACGAAACAAAAAATGCAACATGATTTTGAAATTGTAATATTTTCCTTCATAAACTTGTGGAAAGTGTATTTTATGTGAGACCCCTTTTGTAAGACGAATCCTAAGTAGAAAAGACTCCACAAATCCCTTTGAAGTAAAGGGTATAAGAAAAGCCAATAAAAAAAGAGGAGGAAAAGGAGAAAATAAAAAACACCACTAACTTAGTAGCAGAAGCTTTTACAGTAATTTGATTGTTTCAACTTTCAACACTATACATTTTATTCACTTACCTTGCAGCCAAAAAAAAAAAAAAACAAAGCCTTAGACAAGATTCAAATTTAACTTCACTACTACACACACATATATGTATACTCTCTTCATAATCTTTTCCTTAAAAACAGTAAAGCAAGCACCCCTCAAAGCTCAGTCGAACACTCCGAACTCTGCCTCGAGCTCAACGGAGGCGAAGGCATCGAACCGAAGGGCAAAACGGTCGAACACCTCACGAAAATCCGATACCTACCCGAGACCCACGTCCCGATCTTCCACCTCAGCTTCCCCACAACCTTAAATTCGAAAACCAATCTCCCTATCCCCTGATCGTGCCTAACCTCGTACGCGAAAGATGGGCCCACCGGCTGTTGGGCCCCGTCCAAGAAAACGCTTATCACATTCGACTCCTCGTGTTCTTGATAAAAAGGCGAGACGAGAGTTTCGGGCGTGATTTGTTCGCCCTTGTAGGATGCGCATACCGAGAGTTGGTCGTAAAAGATGCCGACTTTCTTGTTTGGATTGTGGGATTGGATTGTGAGCTGGATTGAGGAGTTGAGGAGTGAAGAGGATGGGCCCGAAAGGTTGAGCTGGTTGACGAGGGCCCGTTCGACGGAGAATTTGGGCTTTGTCGGGTGGAGGACGAGCCAAACGAGGAATATGAGGGAGAGAATGGAGAGGAGGAGTGTGGAGAGGTAGAGGTAGAGCTTCTTGTTCAGCTTTGGGAGGTTGAGGGATTGTTTGTTTGCACAGTGTTTGGGGGATTTTTCATGGATTTGAGACATTTGGAGAGAGGGAGAGTGAGAGAGAAATGGAGAGAGATGTTTGTTGTGATGAGGGAAATTGAGGAGTTGAGATGATATATGGGATTTTATATAAACGGGTTTCAAAAAAAGGGGCAACAAAAAGAAGGGGTGAAAAAGGGTGCAATTATTTTGTATATGTATGGGAAATATATAATCAAAATTTTTGTACAAGTAATTTGGAAAAATTGCACTATTCGTCCACTAACTATACCCTCGTTGCACTTTCGTCCTTTAATTGTTTACGGTTTACAATTGGTACACTAACTTTTTTTTTTTGGTAATTTTAGTCCAAAATGACATTGCGGCGCTCATTTTCGCCGGAAGCTGATGTGGCGCCCAATCAGATCGGAATTCCATTCTCGGCGTGATGTGGCACGAGGTGGCGCCTAGTCAGATCGGAAAAATTGCACTATTCGTCCACTAACTTTACATTCGTTGCAATTTCGTCCTTTAATTATTTCTGATTTACAAAATCAGAAGAAAAAAAAATATTAAGAAAATCAAAAAAAAAAGAAAAAGCTTTAAAAAGAAAAAAGAAAAGACATGTGGATAAAAAATTAACAAAAAAAAGAATATTAATTAATAAAAAAATCATTTTGATTAATGATTTTAAACAAAATAAAAAAATATCTTTTTTTTAAAAAAATAAAAATACATTTTTTTATTTAATTAAAAATGAAATAATTAATAAAAACAAAATGAAAAAAAAAATAAATGTTTAATGAGAAATAAATATTTTTTATTTAATAGTTAAATATTTAATAAAAAAGAAATATTTATCATTTTTTTTTTGTTTAATGAAATTTTTTTATTTAAATAAAAAAATATTTAATAAAAAAATATATAAAACGAAATAAATATTTTCTTGAGTAATAAATATTTAATAAATATTTTTTATTAATGGTTAAATATTTAATGAAAAATTAAATATTTAATAAAAAAATATTTTTCATTTTTGTTAAATATTTCATTTTTGTATTAAATACTTAATCATCAAATAAAAAATATTTATCATTCATCATAAATTTATTTCGTTTTTATTAAATATTTCGATTTTATTTAATCATTAAATATTTCATTTTTTATTAAATTAAAAAATTATATTTTTTCTTTTTCTTTTGATTTTTTCTTTTTCTTTTTAAAGCTTTTTATTTTTTGTTTGATTTTTTTAATATTTTTTTCTGATTTTGTAAACTGGAAACAATTAAAGGACGAAAGTGCAACGAATGTAAAGTTAGTGGACGAATAGTGTAAATTTTCCGATCTGACTAGGCGGCACCTCGTGCCACATCAATCCGAAAATAGAAATTCCGATCTGACTGGGTACCACATCATCTATTCCGGTGAAAATGAGCACCGGAATATAATTTTAGACTAAAATTACCAAAAAAAAAAGTTAGTGTACCAATTATAAACCGGAAACAATTAAGGGACGAAAGTGCAACGAGGGTATAGTTAGTGGACGAACAGTGCAATTTTTCCCAAGTAATTTCTGCAATCTCTAAAAAAGAAAAAAAAAAATATGTTGTAGTTAGGGCGTGATTTGATACGAATATATCTACTCAAGACGAGTTTTTTTTTTCTTTTTTTTTTTGTTAACTAGAAATAATTTTAAAAGAGGT